ACATCCTGGACCGGCTGCCGGGAGACCCACAGGATTTTCATCGAAAGAGAACAGGCAGCTCCCTAGAAATGGCACCCTGGAGGGCTGCAGGGAACAGCGTGCCCAGGCCAGGTGGCACGGGCATCACAGGAAGATGGGCATGAGGCCTCTGCCAGAAGCCAGCCTGAGGACAACCACAGACCCACAGGGCTCAGCCAGCCTCACCTCACACCCACACGAGGACCTCGGTCCCCACAGGGCCCAGGGTCCCTGTGGGGCATCGTGCTGGGTAGAGGGCACCCTGAAAGGCAGTCCCCTCAGAGCAGCTTCAGTGCTGCGAGTTCTGTACGGCAAGGACCCTAAAACTGTTGCTACAAGTTAGAATCCTAAACCTCAAATGCCCGGGATGAGAAATATTTTAGATTTTTTTTTAATATTTGCATATACATGAGATAGCTTGAGGCTGGGACCCAAGTCTGAAAGCGATCAAGATAAACTGTATGCAGGTACCAGTTCTCCAAACAGGCATCACCATGAATAACTGCAGACATCTGCTAATAACAAGGAGCGTCAAGGTCCGCAGAGCCACGGGGACATTCATTTGTTTTAAACCTTGTCTGCCTGTGGCCTGAAGATCATTACACACGATATTTTAAATAATTTTGTGCATAAAACACAGTTTCAGGGTATAGAATTTTCCACTTACGCCATCGAGTTAGTGCCCAAATCTCCAACTCTGGAGCCTGCGGGACTTCTGACTTTCACATTAGAGGTGCCCGTGGAGGATGAGACGTGTGGTGTTCTAAGCTGTTCACAGGAAAGGAGGTTTAGGGTAGATGGCATGCACTTCCAAGGTCAAAGCAAACAGTTCTAGAAAGGCCTGGCGTGCAACTCTGTGGCACAAGCACATGCCTAGGCCCTGGGATCCATCCCCAGAGGCCCTGCTCACGGGAAGGGAGGACACGCAGCTTGCACCGAGCGGCACCAACGGTCCCTGGCGGCTCCCACATGACAGCGGGGGAGCAGGACCTTCAGACACCCCCATGATTCTCCTTCACTGAGCGCTCACAGATGGGGCCAGACAGATGGACAGACGCCACACGCGGCTCCACTTGCAGCCCAAGAGCCCTGGCCTTTGCGTTGACTGTGTGACAGTAACGGCACACCCACTGTGCTTCTAGGGCAAAGTGAATCAGGAGCCCCAAGTCAACAGGGAGACCGTGGCTCCGGGCTCTGGGCCATTTACCTAGTGCACAGCACTCAGAGGGCTTTGGGGCCGGATGCTCCCAGGGGGCATTGCTACCACCAGCAGCAGGGCGAGGAGGCGTGGCCCACACTCAGCTCAGCCCGGATGGAAACAAGTATTGCTGTGGAGTCCGGACATCAGCCTCAGGGACCTGAAGGTCAGCGCCAGGGGCCCCGCATGCTTCGGACTGAGATCTCTGCACACACCCCGTGCGGGTCCCGGAACCCGTGCTCTTTAGGGCGCTCTCTGCCTCTCTCGCTCTAGATCACAGGAGCCGATTTCTGAGGCCTGCTGTACACTACAGTCCCGTCAAACGGTCTGCAGCCGAGGGACGCCCACGGCCCACAGCTACCCTCCGCTCTCAACATCCTGCCTGTGCGGAGCTCAAAACGCCACACTGAATGTGTGCACACAGCGCCCGCCCAGCCCGAAAAGCGTGCAGGTCAGCTCCATGAGCTTTTGCACGGGGAATACACGCAAAGATAAAAATACAAAACAGTAGCGGAGTGTTAGAGGAGAAAGGTTTCTAACCACACAAACAGAAAGGGGAATGATCAAGCGCACAAACTGCTTTAAGGCAAGGCTGCCAGGGCACAACAGTGCCACACAGCGCTGCGAAAGTCAGTGGGCATCCCACGCCGGCCCAGTCGGCCCCACAAGCCCAGCACCGCCCGGCTTTCAGGACAACCCTTGCATGTAAGCGCTCCTCGGACTCCCGTTCTACGCATGAGGCTGGTGGATCTGTTTGGGCCTGCCGGGCTAATAAACTGCACAACTAAGAGGCCAAGGGAGGCAACAGGCCTCACGGAACTGTCCGTGTTGGCTGCCGCCTTAATCAAACAAAGCAAAAAGTGAAGGGACGTGGGGGCTCCTTCCCAGCAATTCCTTCCTGGGACCTGTTCCCAAAGGGCCCAGCCCAGTAACAGGCTCCTCAAACGTAGGAGCCTGGTTCCTATGCTCGGTCAGGTCTCTAACCCAGGGCATGCCACGGTTTACACCTGACGTCCCCTCCAGCCTCATGCAAGCACAGGCTGGGAGCTGACTGGGTCATAGGGGCTGCGCCTGACCCGCCGTGAGGAGGTGGAGCGGGTCGGAAGAGGCGGTCACCGGCCCTGGCCTGCGCGGGTGCATCTCCCTCCCCGGCTCTGTTCTCGCTCTCTGCTTCCGGGCCGCCAGGCAGTGCACAGCCCTCCGCCACCAGGCCGAGCCCGCCATGCTGCGTTCACCTTGGAGCCCGCCGACCATGGACTGAGGTCGTGAGTCCAAACTAACCCCCTTTAAAAAGCTGTGGGTGTCGGGTATTGTGTCCCAGCGACAGGAAGGTGACTGAAACAAGCATCAAGGAAAACCTCCCCAAAATCCACCCCTTAAGGCAGAGGGCTGTAAAGTAATACTATTCCAGCATGGGGAAAATGGAAATCTCCCGACTGTCAGCACCCTTCCAAAGCCAGCAGCTCGACCACTCCCCTCTGCCTGAGATGACTTCTGATAACCCTGCGACACGCACGTCACCGTGCAGACCCTGGAGAAGGTGTCCCAAGCCACAGGACCTGTTGCTGAGCCCCGCGGGGCGGCTCGACTGTTTTGATCGCTTCCACAGCCTCCCCTACTTCTAGGCTGGGTTTCAGCAGAAATGAACGACCACCTCATCCCAATCCTCGGGATGTAGCCAAAGCGGGGTTTAGAGGGAAACATCTAGCTTTAAATGTTCACATTAGAAAAGAAGAAAGGCCTAAAATCAGCACCTTATTTCACCTTAAGCAATTCCTAAGAAACCCAGAATTTCTACTGCCCCATGATGAAGCCAAAGGTACAAGAGATGCTTTTATCGGAGCGGGGATTTGGTTTCTGTACACTGCAAAGTCTCTAACCCAGCTGGGTTATCAAAATCAAGAGAGGGCCAGAGATACAGCTCAGGGGCACAGCGCCTGCCTGGCAAGGGCAAGGTCCTGAGTTCAATTCCCGGTTCCAAAAAAAAGCAAAATCAAGAGAGACAGAAAAAAAGATGGGGTGGGAAGAGGGAAAGAAAAGGTTAGCAAAAAGACAGATTTTTTAAAAAGCCTCCACTAACAGAAAAGTTAAATTTTGAACACAGTGCTGATTACTTGAACGAAAGACAAGGCAGATATTCCCTTCTCACAAGCCCATGCAACTCCCACACGGGTTTAACAGACAAGAACGGCATGGCCGACACATAAACAAACGCATGACCAGGACCCGAATCTGCCCCTGCGCTGGCTCTGAGTTCTGAGAGGCAGGAGCCCAGCCCTGCACAAGCTCAACTATGATCTACTGCCCAGTAGGCTTTTTATCCCCTGCAGCTAAGGGCTGGACAGAATTCCAGCGAAATGGGCCCCTTAAATGAGGCCACCTCTAATGCATGCTTTCTTATCACACAGACCAGCAAAGGACTCCTACAGCTCCAGGACCCAGCTGAAGGTAAGCTGTTGCTTTGTGCAGCCACAAGTTAGTCTCTATCCCCTGTAAAGTCTCCGTCCCAACCAGGTCATCAAAATTGAAAATTCCGAGCGAGCCCTTAGACGTGGGACCTGCTCTGGGTTCTGATCACGCCAGCTACCACCATTCAGAGCTCTGGAAAATTATCTGCCCGGAGCCCGTCCAGCTCTGCTTTCTCACTCCACAAACGAAAACCATTTTAACTGCCCCAATGCGGCCCCAAAAGCCGTACAGACCACAGGCGATATGCAACAGGTGACCTTAGCAGTGGGCTGCGTTTCTATTTTAATTACAGTGAACATAACTACCATATCCAACTCATGATTTCATGGCTACCAACGTTTCTTCCCAAAATAAATGTGTTTAAGTATAAAAAAAATAAATATCCACCGTGGCTGGGTCAGTATATGGCATTAATCTTGAAGGCCCGCGGCCCTGGACTGAGACACCATCCCAGGGCGTCCCGTTTGGGGCTCTGGGGCTGGTGGGGTGGACTGGTGCGTGCCATGTCGCTTTCACAAGCGGATGTACTTTTGCAGAAGCATAAAACACACAGGACTTAAAAAAAAAAATATCCCAGGCTTAGGCTCCAGTGACAGCCTCGCCACTGGCGCCTTGTGACCTCAGGCATGCCAATTAACCCCCGCAGCCTTGGTTTCCAGACCTGTAAAATGGGGATCAGGGGGCTATCCCGCGGATTAAAAGCAGCAAGGCTCCTGAAAGCCCAGGAAACTGTGAACCGCTCCCCAAGGCTCCGTGGCCTGCTTCTCAGTTACGGCCACGCCGCCGGGCCTGTAACCCTGTCCTGGAGTCCCCTCCCCCACCCTCGGGGATTGGCCGGGGAGCCCGGGCTCTCCAGTGCGCGCAGGCAGGGACGCTGGCTCACACAGGACGCGCGGTAAGCCCGGGGTGCTCGTTTCGAACGGGAAAGCTAGCCGTCCAGCACCGTGGCCGGAGGCACCTTCGACCTCGGGGCTTCTCCCCGGGGGAGCCTCGGCGGGGGACGCGGCCCCGTGGGGGCGGCGCGCTCAGCCTGTCGCGCCGTCCCCGCCCTCGCCACGCCATGTGTTCTCAGGAAAGACGAGCGAAACGCTAAAATCCAGCACCATTTATTTCCGAAAGTGCAAAGGGCTGATTCAGCACTCCCCGGCAGCCTTCCGGCCCGGCCTTTTAAACATCGGCGAAGAGAAAGTTGTGCAACAGGAACGCACATCCAGCCCGGCGCGGCTGTTGGGGCTTTTCTTTGCATCCCCGAGGCGCCCGTGGCAGGGAAACGTCCTTCCGAACGCATCCTCCACCCCCGGGGCCCGGGACTCACCTGCGGCTCCCCAACTTTGTGACCGACTCCGGGACCCCACGCCGCGCCGAGCGGCCGAAAGTTGGCGGCGCCGCGCTCCCGGC